AAATCACACATGGCGGTATGGTCCTGATGAAAGGAGAAAATGCAAGGGCCTATATCATTTGGTTGGGAGTACAGTGGTTCCCAATACCTCAATGGGATGTAGAAATGGAGTGTGCAAGGTAGTATCGTCACACGGAGAGTCTCTTTTGTGGATAGAGAGGAGACAAGTATTACAAGTATCCAAGGTACAGATGATGGTGAGAGAAAGATTCTTGCATGAAGAGAAGAAGGATCCAAGTCCCTCTCTGGAGTTAACTATGATTGTTAGCCTGGACATAGTTACATAGGTACATTGGTCGTTTTGTTTGAATCAAGTGGAATCAAGACCTAATGATTCAAGTTATGTGTAAGTGGTGATGTTTTACAAGGTTAATAGAGGTTTGCGGTATTTGCAAACAGGTGGAGGTGCAAACGGTAGATCTCCAAAGTAGTTGAAAAATAAGCCAAGGTAGCGATTGTTGGGATCGTGTCTTTTTTTTACAACCATTGGATTGCCTTTTAATTTAATGATTGGTGTGGTCCCTCTTTAGGTTAAAGAGATTTTACATATAAAAGCTTTCTTTTGTATGTAGTTTTTTAGTGAGAGAGAGTGAGAGCATGAAAAAAAAAGATAATGTGTTATTAGTGTAATATTGTTTTTCTTTTCTCTTATTTTTTGTTCTTTGAGTTGAGAGGAAAGGAAGAACGGATGTACAAGGGTTAAGAATTGGTTTGGGTTGAAAGCCACGAAGTACTTGTATTGTTTCTCAATTTTCTTTCATAGTGAAGAACATGTTTTGTCTCTCCTGTGGACGTAGACAATAATGCCAAACAACGTAAATCTTTGTGTTCTTTGTGGTGTTTGTTTTTATTTGTCATTGCTTAAATTTTATTATTTCTGTTGTTATTGGATTTCCCTTGTTTCAAATACCTTGTGGTTTTATCCTATAGATGGTTGTTATGAAGCCCCAACAACAGGCAAAAAGTGGAATTCAGAATCCCTACTTCCAGCYCTCCACAAGGAATTTTTAATTCTATGCCAAATCTAAGGGCACAACAGAGCCTAAAAATACAAGCATCACAAAACAAATGCCCAATTTATAAACATTTACTTGGAATGAGTAGTGATCACAATACTTATAGTTGCTGACTGGGGGCCTACAATAAAAATTGGATGAACAAGCAACTTTCTTTACTTCTGAATATTTTTAGAGGGAACTTCTTCAAACAAGACTCACAACATCTCTTCATAGAAGTATTTGCCATTTCTTTAAGGTATGTTGGTTTAGTAGAAACAGCTTAGGGGGGTGTTCTCCAATGTGAATTGTTTTTCTTCTTGTGAGTCCCAAAGACAAAACAAAAGCAGCTGATTTGATAATAAATTGATTCTTAAAATAAGATACAGAAAACATTTTCTTGGTTTTATATATGTATTTTTTTCCAAAATTAACTGCCATATTGGCTAAAAACGAACATGTTTTCATCTGGTTATTTAATGGGCATTCACCAACATGCAAGGTTTCTGTTTATCAAAACAAAAAATAACTTCTACATCAGAAATATATTAATTAATTTTGTTAGTGTAATTTGTTTTGAAAAATAAAGTGATGACGAAAGTGATGGAGACGGAAAGGTATTCTTAAATGTGAAGATGTCATGACGAAAGTGATGAGATGGCAGATAGGGAATGATCGGGAAATGAAATTTTATAACTTGGACAAGTGGGTAATTGATAAACCTCTCTGGAATTTTACTAGAATCCAAGATATTAATCAAATTGAAAAAGAGATAACATTGTAGATGGATCCCATAACCAGGAATCGGCTACCTCTAGCAGTTATGAAAACAAATAAAATACACCCCTATATCAATAACACCCTACAAAGACAAACTATGGATTATGATGGGTTCCTGTTACCCAATGTTGACGAGTAGAGCAGAACAGAACAAAATCATGTAGAGAAATTACTAGAGAAAGTATGGAAAGTAGAATTGGTCCAAAATTCCGGTCTTTCTTTGTCTTCTAGTTCAGAATAAGCTCCTACAGTGAGACCTATTGACAAAAAAAAGGAATGAATATTCACCCTTCATATATAATATGCTTGGTTCAGAAGGAAACAGTAAGCCACCTTTTTTTTCAAATGTCAATTTGCATCCCATATATGAAATAGAGAACAGAAGTTCTAAAGATTGTTAGCCAAAAAGTGACTTTTACACTATGGTCCATTTGGATTAACAGGAGTGAACAAGTTTTTTTTGGAAATAGGACAACTCATATATAAAGATTAATAAAGTTGGTATAGCTGTCAACGAATTCAATGAGAAAATAAAAAGTGAATGTGATACTAGCTGGCCATGGTACTGCTGATAAAAGGGTTATCGAAATCCATGACCAATGTTGTGTATGAAAGACAACTTTGATGTTGTTGTGAAAATAAAATCTGGTGAACAGGCTATAGGATGTCACAGGAGAGGTACCCATCTTGATAGGGGAAGAATTAACAGCAAGAAAATGCATTCCACTAGCTAGAGACCTCCGGTGCAGCAGAACTGTCATCATCCAAAGAGACTCGAAAGTTGTTAAAGATGGTCTCAGGTTGTGTTTGGTACAATTGTTGTTTCTACCTGAAACGTTTTGGGTTGATCTTGAATGGATTTCTTTATTTCCTTTTGGTCTGTATAAACCATGTGGTAGCTGACTGTGTAAGAACAGTGTTTTCTAGGGGTCAATTATCAGAGGATTACCAGAAAAAGACATTGATGGAAATTACAAAAAAGAGAACAAATTGAAGAAATAACCTTTCTAACTGTGTCTAGTGATTCCTAATTGAATTGCCTGACTTGTTTGGGGTTTAAAAGCAGAGAGATCATTTAAATCTACTGGTACTGGCCAAATTGACAGATCATTAATTAATCTTGACCGTGAGATCCTGGAATATTGGGTTCCCCATCTGTAAATAATAGGGTGCAGTTTGTTAGTTATGTAGCTGATCTGATGCAGTTTTGACAGGCCCTGCTGTACCAGATCCAGGATGTTGCCATTGAGCTAACTTATTATCAAATTCATTAGTCATGGGGCATTATAGGGACGAATGAGTACCACCATTTGCACTGTGCATGTGCATGGATCCATTCTTTAAGGCAATAAACAAACCTAGGATGGCTCATTGATTGAACACTCAATTGGAATCTGTTGGGCCAACCTTTAACAAATTGGCCTGACAATGACATCTCTGAGTCAGGACCAACGACTGGTGTACTGTGGGTAAGGAACTGGTGGATCTGAACAAACATAAACTATGAACCCAAATCATCCTTTCCTCTGTGCATAAGCCATTTTAGTTCAGTTAAAGGGCTCCAAATTACTGATCTGAAAGTTAGAACTGACCAAAAGGTCCAAAATCCTAACAGCTGCAAAGTTTGGAGTGTACAGTTATTATATGCCATGGAAATGGATGAAGGATGGTTTTATCTAGGCACAGCTAACTGACATCCTTGACAGCTCAAGAACAAGCAGTCCATATTTTTTTATCTGGCAATGAGAAAGACATGGATCACTAGTGGCCATTTATACTTGCACCAAGAAAATAAATCCTGTTGATTATTCATCTTGTGATTTACAATGATCTAAATTTATCCTAAATTCCCATCCCATCACCACAATTCTCCTGAAAATAGGGCCAACATAAATTCCAGACGCCCTAACTAGTAGCAAAATACAGGCTTTACTATGACACCATTTTTTTTCTTTTCCATCTTTGTTAATTACAAATTTTTTTGGAACTTTAAGCTGTAGTTATTTGAAGTGTAAATGCAGAACAGGTAAATATTGCACCCTGTCCATTTTCCCCTGTTTGTTTTCCAAGCACCTTTACAACTGGAGGGTGGGGTAAAATTTATGTTGGGCCTTTCCTCCTTAATTCTCTACTATATGAGGCGGAGACCAAGCTTGCGAAATACTGAAATTTCACGGCATTAACATTGTGAGCAGTAAATATCATTTGGTACAGTTTAATGGAAAATCATCAGAACAAAGTGACTAAAATACATTAAGATTTTTGCAGTGATAACCACCCATGTCGGGTTATTTTATAGACAGTAAATTTACAATAACAATAATCTCCATGGAACCACTGTTTCTCAAGAGCTTGGATTTGTTGCTTCATATACTTATGACTAGAAAAAAATAGAATAAACAATTGTTTACACCAGCTATAAGACAAATGATCACCAATTGTATCTTATGAGCTCCCAGAGCAAGAAATCAGCAACTGGTTTCTCAAATTGCTTCAACTCCTAAAACAGTGAACATAGCATTTGGAAATAATCTCACACCAATTAATGGATCAGTCTTCTGACAATTCCTACAACAAACAATGTCTAAGACATCATATGGTTTACGACTTTTGGAAACAAATGTTGCAATGGCAAACAGATACAACAAAAGAAAGAAATATGGGTAAGGTTTAAAATTAGCTACAAAAATCAGATATCAGAATCCAACAAATACGCATGTAAATTTCTATCTGAAGAGACTAACTAGACAAATATAACATGGCAAATTTGTTTAAAAAAATGAACGAGCTGATCAGATAGAAAACTATAAAATTAGACTAGCATAGATAACATGTCTATTTCTTAAATGACACTAGATAACATATTTCAGAAGTGAAACAAACAGATGATAAAACTAAAAACCACCTAACAAGATATAAAGAGAGAACTTTCATCTTTACGTCATAAATTCACGTGAGAATTTTTGGATGCCAGGTGGAGCAAAATCATTTCATTTCGGTTCTCAAAGCATTTAACTTGGAATAGTCTTTCACCTAACTGGAATGCTCAAACTTTCCTGCCTACTAACTGGAAGCAGAAAACTCATTATCTAAACAGCAATGAAAAATAAGTAATTTCATTTCAGGATGGACAAGGATTGGATCTATTTCACAAGTTAATTATTACTTTGGTTCAGATAGATAACGATGAAGCAGGACATAACTCACATTCTTGGTGGTTTCCAAGTGACCATAATAGATAAGTTTAATAATTACTTTGATATGTTGCATGTTGGCATCCATTGATAAGATTAATTATAATTACTTTGCTTCATACAGATGATGAAACACCAAGTAGAAGTTACATATTAGAATTCCATTACACGGGAAACTTATATCTCTACTTTCTGCTAAACAAACTTCTTAGCTTTCCTCTTTCCAAACGTTCAAGCAATTTTTTGGCCCCTGGGACTTCCATCTCAGAAAGTTTCTTGAGATACCCAATACCACCATATGAGATCATCAACCTCTTGCACTTCTTGCTTGAGGACAGATACGAGAGACAGCAAATAGCATACTTCTTCGCTGTGTTCTGAGGGCTTGGATCAAGCAACTGAACAAGATTCGGCACACTCTTCTCATCCCTTTTGACCTCTCTGCAATTCTGTGCAAGTGTCACCAAGCTGGATATTGCTTGTGCAGCAACCTCTCGTGCACTATATGTCTTTGCCTCGAGCAGCTTCACAAGAAGAGGAATACATCCAGCTTCACCCACAAATCGTTTCATCTCTACTGAGCTACAAATTCGGCAAATAGCAGAAGCAGCAGCCTGTTTTGCACCCAAGGATCCAGCTTTAAGCACATGAACCAAACATGGGAGAAAACTAAGTGAAACCATTTCCTCCATTGATAGCAAAGCCACCAAATTCCGCAGTGCTCCTACCGCAGATTCCTGGGGCAATGGACCATCAAGATAAGCCAACAGGCTCCTAACTCCACCTTCTGATATAACTGACTTTCTAAGAGTATCATTGGTAGCAGTGAGATTCTGCAAGCACTCAGCAGCATACTCTTTGGAACCCAACAACAATCCGCAATCAAGGAGGTTAATCATGTTTCTTATGGTCCCTTCATCAGCAAGATTCTGCCTCACCTCGGGCACAGCCGACAAATTCTTCAATGTACCTGCAGCTGCAGCCTGTGAAACCGATTCTCCAGTCCGACAAATTTCAATCAATGGGCGAACACCACCATGACCAACAATGGAACGAGCAGTGTCCGCAGACATTGACAATCTCTGTAGGGAAATGGTAGCCTTCTCCTTTCCAATTGCACTCCCAGATTCAGCCAGCCTGATCAGAGGGGGGAGCACACCTTCAGAAACAAGCAAATTCTCACAGCTCCCTGACTCTGCAAGTGAGCAGATCACCGTGACTGTCTTCTCCCGAATTCTAGGTGATGTTGCAGTTAGCAACTGGACCAAAGCTGAGATATTGCTTCGGCCCAACACAGCCAGCACAGTTTTCTCATCCTCTTTCATGAATTCAACAAGCTTATCCAGTGCTCTGTGCTTAGCCTCCAAGTGTCCAATCTGAAGACGGGCCAGCAATTCTCTTAAATTCCATGTAGTGTCTGGTTCTGTAGAAGAATTAGCAGCAGTGGACGAAGACAAAGTGGCCTCACCAAGTACCCCAGTCTTGATAAGCAGCCCACAATCCCTTAGATTCAAATCCAACTTCGCGGACAAGGCATCAAGATCACTCTGCATCTGAAGCTTTCCCCCATATTTCTCTTGCACGCAGACCTCCGCCAGTTCAATCGTCTCAGCTAGTGTCTTTGTCACAGCCTGCAATTGCTCCTTACAAAGTGCATTCTTTGAGAAGAAAGGATGGCTCGACAAATCAGCTAACCGAGAAGGGACCTGCTCGAGTTTGGAAATTATCATCTTCCAGCGACCTGGGAACCTCTTGATTGCCTTGGCTTTGTCCAAGGCTGTCGGCACAAGCTCCTGGGCACGTGATAACCACTCTTCAGTCGACAGGGTATCGACTGAAACATCTTCTCCTCCATCTTCCACCATGACTACTATGTGGATACTGATCTATGTATTACAGGAGCCACAGAAAGCTGAAATTCAGAGAAACGATGCTAAGTTAAGGAAGAGAAAGCTGTTTTGTTAGATAAAAAGGGAAAAGCAGGAGGTTGATCGTACATAAATAAGAAGAGCAGTTGCAATCATAAGAAATAAATTCTAAAAAGCTAGAGCACAGTGGAGAAGGGGCCAAGATCCGGAGTTTCAGAGCATCTTTGGAAATCACAGATAGATCGTTGGTGAAATCAGGCTACGACCCACAAAATCCAAGTACCATTATGACACACGGGTGTTGTCGAAAAGTTAAACGAAGAGTCATCCAGAGTAGTCCAGATTTCCAGAAGAAGAGAAATCACCATTAACAGTTGGTGAAAATGGAAAAGGATGGAACAAATACTTCCATTGTGAAAATACATAAACACCCTTTTGAAACTCACTCTTCATCGCTCATGCCAAAAGTTGTTGAACAAATTCAAGGGCAAAATAGTCCTATCTGGTCTCTCTCTACCAAGACAAGGCCTAGTACCTTTACTCTTCTAAATTTTGTCACCACGCCCAGAAGGAAACCATCAACGTAAGGATCTGACGACACAGATTTCTTAAAAAAGACTGTCAAGTTCGAATCTACTTGGATTGCCATTTCTTTAGTGTAAATTCGCCATTTTTCTTATTAATTTTCTCCAGAGACAAATAGAGGTGGAGAATTTGCTTTAAAGGGAAGATAATACCCTATTTTCTGCAGTTGAATGGGTTATGGAGTGTGAAATATAGAAGCTTACTGCAACTCTAAAGCCACAAAAAAAAAGGAAGAACAAATATAAAAATAAGTATATACCTGAAATAACTATCCTTCTCAAACATCAAAGGTTAGGGCACCGAACTGCTTTCTGGTCTGCAAGACGATTGCATGGTAAAAACACCCAAAGTCCCAAAATACAGAAACCCTTAACGTGAGAGAGAAAGAAGAAAAGGAAAGAGAGAAACATTTTTTGCAAAAGAAGGCCGGAGAGAGGGAAAGAAAGGGAGAAAGGGAAAGAAAGAAAGGAGAAAAGGAAATCCTTTTCCGAAACAGCAACCAACCAAGGAAAGCACGATGGGTAGCTCCAAAGACCAACCTTTAGATGCCCAGGAATCCGTTCTCTTTTCTGGAAAGCAACTTGGTGGATTGATGTTCAACTCTCCTCCACTCCGTCACTCATCATTTCTCATTCGATCAAGTCGGCGACGCAGATAGCTTTTGTTTCATGAGTAGTACCAGCAGAAACGCGAAAGGGAGCTCTCCTTTTTCTTCCCTGAAGACATCAAACGGTCGGATTGATTAAAATAAACATACATCAGAGAGCAGAATCATCTCAGAAGCGACGAAGTTTTTGAAATGGAGGTAAGTACCCGAGCATTAACGCAAGAGGACAGATCAATACAGGATAAAAAATAATAATAAGCACAACTGCACAAAAACAATCGCATTCAAAAATCAAACCTTCTTCATATCTCCTCTCTCTTTCCCTCTCTCTCTAGAAGGAAAGTTCAGCCTGTCAGAAGATTCTCTCTCTCTCCTTCTCTCTCATCCAGCTTTAGAGACAGAGAGCGTAGCTTATGTTTGTGTAGTACAAGGGTTAAATGTTAAACATGATCATAGATCGGACGGCAGTAAATGGGGAAGCAACAGAGGATCCGACCGTTCGGAGCAGGAAAAGGTTAAAATTTGAAAGTAATTATTTTGAAAATGTTTACGTTACTGCGGGCCCCACGGTGGATAAAAGCCACGTGGGATTTCGGGAGTGGTGAAAGTGGAAACCACTGTTGCTTTTCAAAACGGGAAATAAAGTCATTTACGGCCGATATAGTTGCCACGTGGAAATGTCGGACAATGGCTGCAGGAGCTGGGCCTGGGAGGAGGGCTCTGAAATCCGTAAAAGCGCCGGACGCAGTGATGAAAATACGAGAATGCCACTGCGTTTATAATTCGAAAGGGCGATTGTTCTGTTTGAAACCAAAACAAGCCCATCAGTCTTAGGATACGTTTGGCCCAAAGAATCAATATTTGAAAAATGAGCTCTCCCCCAAAAAATGAAATAAATTGAATGTAACCATTCCAAACGCAGTCCCTGCGAAGGAAGGATAGCAGAATAGGTTTGGACTTTGGAGAGGAGGGCCGTTGGGTTGGTTGTGTCGGCCGCGCAAATGACAAGGTTCAAAAAGTAGGACCAGGAACGAACCGAATCCAAGGCCAATTTCTTGGACCCTGAGCCCTGATTAATTCATTTTTTAAGCAGAGATGGGTTCTAATTTGAGACCGTGCCAAAGTTAAACTGGTCTACCTACCACCATCTCTGTCACTTTGTGTTCCATATTTTGGGATCGGGTCGATTGGTTGGAAATTCTGGTGGTTCAGCTCAAACGATCCAAGAATTTTGTTGGTGGACCATTAACCCCTCACCCTGGTTACAAATCGGGACCATTATTAATTCAGATGGTTAGATCATTTTAGGTTGTCAGCTTTTTGAATTTTTCTGTAGTTATTATATCACGGGGTTGGGCCAAGTGGTTGAACCGTTATGGTATTGACTCGGAGGAAAAGGCATGTAAAACTTAGCAAGGCGGCCCAAAAATTCAAACACAATTCCCTCCGAGTCCGAGAGTCCGAGACAGAGCTGACATGTACGATGGAAATAAATAATGAGAGCAAGCAGATCCAGAGGCGGCCCGAGTGTTTCTTGGACTGTATGGATCGTCCACTTAGCTTCAGTCGATAAGGAAATCTCTTCGATACGTATTGTTCCGAGACCTCTTCGATAAGGAAATCTCTTGAGTCTTGACATTTACAAGCTCAAAATCGGTTGATATGTATTATTCCGAGACCTCTTCGATACGTTCCTATAGTGGGTGTATCGGGGTCTGACTGGTTCAGAGAGTGAAGGAGGTTCAGAAAAAAAATAAAAAAAGAAAAAAAAAACAATTTCGATTTATCTGACACACCTCTACCAACGTATGGAACATATCAATTTTTTGAAACTTGATCAATAGATATAATTTTAAATAAAACATATTAACAAAATAAAATTTGTATAACGAACTCCATATAACTGAGATAAGGCATGAACGATGATGATGAATGAGATGGATAAAGAAGTGACTTGAGCTCCCACAAGCAATCGTCAAGCGTAATGGTGTAATGGCGTGAAGGGGTGGCTACACTACAGGATAGAGCCAGGGCTTCGCACTGCAGTGTGATGATGATTTGGGGTGTTAAATTAATACATCAGCATCAGCATAGCTTTCTGAAGCTCCATGTGTGGGTGAATGTGATATGGTAGGTCAGGCGTCGCGTCACAGCAAAATCACAAACCTCAACTGCCCCACCAAGAAATGTTTTGTCTTTTGTCCATTTTAATAAAAAGAGGGGATGATATTGGAGGGTGGTAGTTGATACTTGGTAGGTGAATGAAGATCGAGTCTCAACCATGAACACAGATTTCAACCCCTATTTATTATATCTATATCTATAACTAATGCTATTATCATTATTACTAACATCCTCCACTATAATTTGTGTTTTTATTTAAATAAATATATATATATATATATTGCATTAATTTTTTGTAAAAGATAAAATTTTATAAAATATCCCACGTAACACCCCAGAATTGAAGAATATATCATTTGTCATAAAAGTATATTTTGTGAAAGCGTGAAGTAATGAAAAATAAGATGTCTTTAACATGCTTGATTGAAATTAAGGATTAAAAATTTACAACCTATTCATTAATATGTATTGTATTGGTGACCCTCCGATGCACCCCTACAGCAATCATATGAAAAAGGGTTCGACTATTATTAAAAAAAAAATATGATATCCAAAAAAAATAACAGACCGATAAACTGGAATCTAGAATGTGGTGCCAAATAAAAGCAGCCAAAGATACAGGCTGATATGCTCCTATAATAACCATTTTGGTGTTTGACCTAGTTAAGGGGTAGAGATGTCTTATACCAACCCCTGAATCGATTTGGAAAAACATTTAAAAATAAAAAGTAAAAAAAGATACAGGCCAATTCACCCCATTTGGTGTATCAACCTGTATCAATAGTTATAATTTTGGTTGAGATTTAGATTTAACGTACTATTAATATTAATAAATACACATTAGTTGAACTCTACCAAGCAGCAATATATATTCATTATTTTACATATATTAAAAAGAAAAATATTCCAAGACAAAGGTTGAGAAATAAAAGAACCAAAAGTAGAGGAAAGGAGGGAGGGGTGCACTTAAGAAAAGGTAAAATTGTTAATCCACTCCACCTAAKGAATAAAGCAAATAATATCAAATTTAATTAGAGATGATGATGACAGGGGACAGGGGATTGTTAGTTGATGGTTCCAAGTTTCAAACATGGCGGTTCATCTCCCTTTCCTGTTGGTAGAGATAGAATCAGTTGTAAAGTGAGTTTGTTATCAAATCAAATTTAAAAGTAAAGATTAGATATGTTCCTTAAAAGTGTTATTTTTACTCATGCTTTTGTTAAACGGAGTTGCATCATCGTCTTTAATCCAACAACGGCATCTCTTGCAATTGCAAAAATTGAAAAGGGTGTCGGTGGCTCTGCCTACGGATGCAACTTGGGTCGGGAATTTGTTAGTTTTTTCATGGCCCAAATCCTAACCCGAAACCATGTAATTGAAAGTCTTCGAGTCGCGCAACCCGACTTGCAGGTTACACTGTTACAGCCCAACCTCTACTTCCACGTCCATGCCAGGTCCGAGATAAAATCGGATTTAGTCCTTACCAGACCGTGTTCACATCGTTTGTACAGTGTTTTGCATCAACATTTTAAAAAATCATCTGGAAATGGAATCATTCTGGGCATCGGCTTCTGGGTTAATGGTCCAATCGTTTTGTTYGAATGGATGGCCTATTTTAACGAAAAATTAAAAATAATTAAAAAACAAAAAAACGGTTAAAAACCGTTGAATGGATAGACAGTTCGACMACCCGAATCAATGATTTATTAAATTTTTCAACGATTTTTTACCATATTCCAGGTTTTGGATAAAACGGAACCAATTGTCTTGTAAGCACCGTCCAAATCCAGATTTTTTACCATATTCCCGGGCTGAACAGTCCGACCGTCCAAATCAAGGGCGGTTCAAAAACGTTGCTTTGCACAGCTTTGCATTGATAATATCTTTCCATGAAAAAACATATAAACACGGAGATATTTTTAATGTATGGCTCTAAAAAGCTGTGAGAACAGTGTGCATATGTCTTGTAAGCACCGAATCCGATCTCCTCCGAGTAGGGTTTTTAAAACACAGGTGTCAATGTTTTTAATTGATGTTGATTCATTTGGTTGAACCGTCTAAACTATTACCCAGTTCCTTTTCAGGTTTGGTTTTTTCTAAAACCAAAAAATTAGTCAAAACCGTTGATTTGATCATTAAGCCACGTTTTACAAATTATAATGTATTGAAATTTTGGAGGCTATAAATTTGTGCCTTTTTTTTATTTTACGCTTTTCAAAATTTATGTGTTCCAATAGGCCAAAAGCACCATACCCCACTATTTTTGCAAAAAAAAATGCCATTTTGGCTTCAATTCTCAAGTTTTATCATTTCTTTTACGTATTAAAAATTAAAAATTAATAAAAATATATAAGTTATATCTAATATAATTATATACCATATATATATTATGTATAATATAATTATACATTATTCAATTAAAATATATACATCACAATTGATCCCTAACTTGCTACTGGAG